TCAAAAATATAAACATGTTTGGTAGGTTTGTTTTTGTGTGCCCACACACATACATCTATAAAAATTTTATGCAAATTCTGATTGTTTTATGAATAGTATAAACATTGGGAACATATTTCTTCAGAGCAAGTTCGGAAGTAGGGCTTTGAATATCTTTTCAAGATAAACCATCGAAACATGCATTAAAAGAAATTACCCATTTTTGGTACCATTGGTATTGTCATTCCCGCTTTTATCACCAACTTTAAATTTCTCCACTTGGTGCAAATTATGGATTTTGCACAGTTTTAGGGGTGTTTGGATCTGTTTCTTAAACTGCTTCTGTTCCTTCAAGGAGTAGAAGCAGAAGTCGGAGTGTTTGGGTGAAAGTGCAGAAGTGATTATGGTGCTCTAATTTACTCCTAGAATCAGTTTTTTTAGAATTTGGGGGGGAGACAGCTTCCGAAAACTGATTCTGCTTCTGCTTTAAAAAGAAGCAGAAACAGAATCAGTTCCAAACACCCCTTAGTGCTCAATCACTTATTCGACCAGTTCCCAAATGATTTTCTCCACATAAGTGACCAGAGAAGAGCAAAAGGAGCACGAAACCATAATCGTGCTCCATAAATGCAAAACATGAATGACCAAATAATCTTGCCTTGTGGGACGAAAAATGAAACAGCAAACCACGCTTAAAGAATGTTCACAGTTCTGTTTATTATTTCAATAAATTGAACTAAATACGTAACATTTAAGTAAATTTTATGGTTTCTGTTTCCTAAAAATGTGAAAACAAATACATATTTACCATATGAGGCCTTGGCTGCTCATTCTAAACTGGATACAGGTAAGATCAAGTGGGAGTTCTCTACTAGGACTTTACCTTGATCTCTTATCATCCAACTCTGAGAAGAAAACGTCTATATTGTTAGCATCGGGCACCGACTCCTTGCTTACACACAACCAGTTGGCAAAACATTTTGGTTCCATCATCATGCCCCGTCACATTAAAAAGGCGGGACTAGAACCGGGATGGGCTGTACAAGAAAGTTCCATAACAATGGAAGGATACACATTAACCGAAATTGGAGCTGTTTGTTATGATATAAAGAAATCATTTTCGGGTTCATCAACCGAATACAGTGCAGTTCTGGGCCATATTTCGGTTACAACGGACTCATCAATATCTCCATCAATAGCTCCTGCAAATTCATGGGTCACTGAGAGTAGATATGTACAATGGTCTTCAGACTCAAAAGAAACAAGGAAACTTAACATGATGCTTACGTGGAAGCAGCTGGAACATGTAAATATTGTTGGTTCATCAATGCAGTACAAAATATATGTCAAGAAAATAAACAAACTCTCGGACAATGAGAAAGAAATTTATCTTGGAGATGCAATGGTTGAGGCATTTTATGTTTCTGATCTGGAAATTCCAGATAGGGTATCTAGTCTCAAGTTCATCATCCAAGTCAGCATCGATGGAATCTTGCGTAAGCTAGAGGATTCTCCATACTATTGGATGGATGTTCAAGATTCTTCATACAATTACCTTTGTTCCCCTAAAAAGGCGTCTTCATTTGTCTGAAGGATATTGTTGCGGAAACAAATGTGTATATATTGTGACCTGTGTATATATTGTTGAAGATGAGTTCGTTTAAATGTATTGAATATATTGTTCTATACGTGTAATTTAATTCAAAATAAATAAATAAATAAAATAGATCTTTTTCCCTTTCCAATTATGTATGATACATTTGGGTAGAATATATAAAAGTATACGAGAAGAGAAAATGTGATAAATTTAAAATGTAATGTGATTTTAGGTCGAAAAAATCAGTTATGCTAGCATCTTGCTGCAAACTCTTAACAAGATTTGAACCCAAAACCTCCGACAAAGGACAGATTTGGAGCCACTCCACCAATCCCGAATTTAAACTCTTTCATAAATCAAGACTCATGTTTTAGTTTTTTTTTTTTTTTTTTTTTTTTTTTTTTTTTTTTGCATTTATCCTTCTATCTTCAAGTTGAGTCTTTTAAAATGGATGTTTGAGTCTTTGACGGTTTGACCTAAAAAGTGGTTTAAATCCCAAGTCTAACTTCAACAACTAATTCTACTTTGCAAGAATTATAATAGCTTTTGCAAAATGCAATGATTTGAAGATTTGGTCATTTATTCCCTTGAACTTGTGCATCCACGGTGGGTTGTTTCCTTCGAATCAGATTACCACTTTGAAAAAGACATAGGATCATGATTGTCCATAATTCCTAATTCATGTTTGAGAGTGTTGAACCTTACTAAGGCTTGGTAAATATATTATCAAGCTGGTTTTCAGTTGAAAACATTTATCACGCTTATTTGTATTCATTTTCCCTAATTTTCCTACTTTTACCCCTTACTTTTTATATACATTTTATCTCTCTTTTCATGTTTTCCCAAGTTTTTATTCACTTTTATTTATAATGTCTAGATTTAGATATTAACAGATAATGTGATAAAAACCAGGTATAAGAGAGAAAGAAATAGAGAATTTTCATTAATTTTTTATGTGTATCCCTCGTACCATGTGTGTCACACTTTTTTTGCAAATGCCTGCCGCCACACTACTACATTTCTTAGAGCATTCTCAATGGTGCCCTGTCTAGTGCAGCAAAAGTCTGCCACGTCAATATTTTAGACATTGGATGTTTAATTATGATTCCAACGCAGGTAGTCTCTAAGCACAGTTAGGTGACGTGTCAAAAAAATTCTAAACACTGTGAAGGGGGACATCTCGGTGTAGAAAGGCTACAAGACTTCGTGACTCAGCAAAAATGGGGGCTTCTTCCTAAGAAAACCGTTGATAAATAGACATTTCCCTTTATTTTAATACAATTGATTCCACGTGGCAGTTCTTAATGGTCTGTATGCATTGGAGACTTTATTTAGTTCATCACTATCCACTCCCTCCACATTTACTACGTGGGTTAGAAACCATTTTCATTATTTGACATTTGGCATTATTTACATAGACTAGACTATGAAGCATTGGGGATGCTCTTAATGTTAGTGTTAGACATCCACTTTCATTTGATGAACAAAATAAGTAATTCTTCCTCTATTCTTAATTAGTGGCATCAGTTTGAGTTTTACACTCGTCAATGCACAACTTTAATCATTACTTATTTATTTGACTATTATAAACAAACATTATATTTTGAAAACTGTCTTGGGGGGCGGTGAAGGTAAACCCTAGCCCTCTTCCTTCTCTTCTTCTCAATCAATCTTCTCTTCCTAAAGATGAAAATTTATCTCTTTCATAAGTATTTTCAAGTTATTTTATGTGGTTTCTTCCTAGCAATGTCTAGGGTTTGTGTATTCCTCGTCGGTGAAATCGATCAGGCATTGAAATTTTATTGTTGGTGGATAGCAATGTTTATCTTGCTTGATTTGTTTGGGAGGTTAACATCAGACATCGACGACTCCAAGACCTCAATTATTCTCCTTCCTCATGAACCACCATCGTGCTACGAGAGAAAGATAACTTTCGATTGTATCTTCTTTTCGGTGGCTGGTCAAACCGATGATATTTGCAATTTCTTCTCAGTAGCTGGTCACACTGAGGATTCTAGTTTCTTTCTGGTGGCTCAACAAACCAGGTTTTCTATTATTTTCTTGTTGGTGGATGATGAAACCGATTTATATGTTTGTTTTCTGTGGATTAGTACTTTTTCTAGTATTGATTATTGGTTAAGTAGAATGAGCTTCCATGTTGATAGAGGAGTCTACATATTTGTGGGGTTAGCGAATTGTTATGTTCCTTTGAAACTATTCAGTTCTATGTCTCATCACATTGTAACCTTAGGCTATCAACTTTTGTACTGATCATTTTTATTATTAATAAATACTCCGTAGTTGTTTTTCTTTCAAAAAGAAAAAGAAATTGAAAACTTACATCATAACAAAATGAAAGTGACTTGAAAACTCAAAATGTAATTAGAGTTAAGTTGTCACTTGTCACAACTAATATTCGGATGGTAATATTTAAGAGCATCTCTAATGGAGATGTGGATTGCATCCCTGGAAATATGGACACGTCACTTCTATAGACGGCTACAGAAGTGATGTGGACGCACATACAGTTAAAACAAAATCTTCACTCCAACACAATCATGCAATCACGATCCAATGCAGTTAACATATACTAGTAATAAAAAAAACATCGGCATGTTACTGCTACGGGTTTAATATTTCTTCTATCTTTCTTTTCTCACTTTATAATCTCATTAATCTGTAAATAGATCGTAATTATTTTCCTACCACAAAACAGCCGCTGGTTCATCCGCAAGTTTGACTAAGTGGGTGATTTGTTTTGATTATATATAAGAGTGATAAACTAATAGACATGTCGTAGATTCAATTAAAATTAGAAAATACCTTGAAAGCTTCTAGGTTAATTTGAAGAATCGGACTAGGTGATTCAATTAAAATTAAAAAATATCTTGAAAGCTTCAAGGAATCGGAGATGCTTCTCAAGATGTGAAAGAGTATTTTGTTTCTTAGACTTTTTCAGCCGTTCAATTTTAAGATTGAGTGCAAAGTTATTCGATCGTTCTTAAAAACTTCGGTGAAAAATTTATTTGCTGAGTCACACCGTCTAACAGACCTAAAAAGAGAAAGGGTATGAACGGTGTGCATTCTTTTCAAGTCCAACTCAGCACCACGATTATAATGGACAGTTCCATTGGAGAGACTTCTTTTTTATATCAATGCCTATTTTATCTATGTGGCAATGCATTTTTAATCAATTCAGATTCCCATTAAATATACACAATATTAACATTATTGATTCATGATGTGGTTTAACCGTTTAAGTATTCATCATTTCATCATCATATGAGAAAAATGGGATGAAATTATGTCAGTTTAGATAGTCATCATTTTAAATCCAAAATGAATGGTTTTGGGTGTAATTTGAAATTTGAATCGACTTAATGTTGTTATTATTATTATTATTAACGTTGTATCTTTAATCGATGGATTTATGTTGTTATAATTACCGTTTGACCTTGGATTTGAGCATCTGACAGTGTCAAGTGGTCCAGTTGCACTTACACAAAGTCACAACTCAGGCGCAATGAACTTCTTTCGATGGATGACGCAGTAGGATTGTAGGAACAATCCTACAAGATGTTCAGATGTTCTTGCGCACTTTTGTTGCAAAAATGAAAAAATAAGGCACATCTAATTTTCCTTTACATTTTTAAACGGAAAATTGGAGCATAAAAAAAGCAACTTCCCTAGAAAAGTAGAGAAAAGGGTCGAAGATGATCTTCCAGCTTTTTGCAGAAGAAGATCTATTAAAGAGGGAGATGATTGAGCATGGGTCTTTGAATTTTGCATTTAGATTGAGCTGTTTCATCTGCTATGACGTGATAAGTAATCTATCCCAAGTCATTAATGGACTTGAGAAGAGAATCAGTAACAACGTCAGGAGAAATCCAAGGAACTGGCAGTGGAAGCTAATTATAATTCACTCCATCATCTTGATGAGAAATGCCATCTCTAATGCCAACTCCTTGCAATGCAGATATCTGTTTTCCTCAACAATCTCAGCTGTCAAATTCAGAAGTACCGGGCGTTTAGGATCATAAAGGGAGTATTCACGCAACCGAGCAACCCACTTGGCTGCTTCCCATACTCCAAACCTGAAAATGTGAAAATTGGTGTTGATTTATGCTAATATGTGAAAGAGCCATTAGGCCAATTAACACTGTTTTAATTTTTTTTAAAGATCGGAGAACTCCAAAGTGACTAAAGGGTCTGAATATGAAAATTTACCTGGTATTAAAAGAAGATGTCACCAAGAGCGCGGGGTAGAGTGCATCTTTTTGTATGTTATCATAAGGTGAATATTTCCGTATACCCTGAAAGTCTTCAATGTCCCCAGGGTACCCAAACTCCTCATAATCAGCAGGTGTGAGGGGCAAAATCGGGGAGACAAGTGTGTTACATGGATCCAGAAACGGAACCTATTGAAGAAGCAAAAGCACACATTCAAAGAGAGGGATAAAAGGATTACCTAAATTCATGCACAAATAACATTACTATATAAACAATAATAACGGGTTTAATAGGCACACCTTCAAAACTGCAGCACGAAATAGGGATGGGAAAGAATTAATAGCCGATGCCACCAACAGACCTCCCGCGCTGTATCCCCAACCAGCTAACTTAGTTTCTTCAACAACTTTTGCATCTATCAGATATTTAGCACATGCTAAATAATCATGTATGGAATTCAACTTTTTTGAGCATCTGCCTTCTTGATGCCACTTTCTCCCCCCGCCACCTCCACCCCTGAAATAGTTATCTTTTTAATGAAAATCGACTCTTAACTCGTAAAATAAATCACCATCATGGAGACTAAAAGAATAAGAGTTTCATCATCACCCTCAGCACCTTAAAACCAACTACCGGGGTACGTGGGGATCAATGACATTACATTTATAGTGCAAACCAACTTAGTGGAAACCTTATATGCTGGATGCCCTTTCAGTCCAAACCTTTTAGAAAGTAACAAATAATGAAATGGAATTCAAAAATGTCATGAAAATCGAGAAGAGTTGAGATAGTTGTTATCATTTTGTTTAATTATGCAGTTGATATGTAAAACCACCCAGCAAAATTGCATCAAATCATGGAACATTACTACACAAAGAAGAAGATAAGTGCAGGTAAAGAAAATGAAATCACAGTGAACCTGACATCAGCATATGCAATAACCCAACCGCGGTCAAGCAAGCTCTTCAACTCAGTACGCCACCGTTTATCTAGGATCTCACCATAAGCCCCATGTCCATGAAGTAGCCCAGGGTTTTGTGCTTGCTTTTTCCTGCTGTGAGAGTATACCACAGTCAAAGGAACTGCTGCCCCATCATATGAAGTGACCTCATAATGCTCACATGCATAAATCTCAGAGAGATCATTCCACGAGGGATAACTTTCAGATACAACTGATTTTGTGGGGATTGTAGTAGATGACCTCTCACCACTAGAAGAATCTGATCCATACAGTGACTTTGTTCTTTCATGAAACATGTTTTGTTGTTGAACTATACTCCAGGTTCCCCTTGATAAGTTGTAATCAACAACTGCGTCTGGCATCTAGTGAAATATAAGCAACGAAATAGTTCCCTTTCTTCAGGGAAATAAATATCACATAACCAAGAAAAGAGAGCTACAGATTTTGGTACTATTTCACACACATGCACATGTGTGTATAGGAATGCTCAAATCAGAACCTTTTTTGGTCCTGCTGACCAAACTTTTGATCAGGGTTTTCAGATAAATACATATCAACCACCATCCAAGATCTAACAGCCCGCTTTAAATCTTCAGTTGTTAATTATGTTATCGTTTTCAATTCTTATTAAGTTTCCTATTTCTACAAGGTTCAGTTCTAACATTTTAAAAGCATTACAAAAAAATCTAGTAATCAAGAGTTGTAAGTTCAAAGTTATATCAACAACATTAGTAATTAATTAAGAATTATGGCGGGGTTGTAGTTTCCTATAATTAATTAGGACTCTATGGTGGGGTTGTAGTTTCCTAATTAATTATTTAGCTTTATACAGTCAAAAGTATATGTAAGAGTAATTATGGTTCTCTCCCATACTCGGTATCTTCAAAACCAAATACAAGAACATAATAAGAAAATTACATCAGAACTTGTATCTTAACAAATTTCAAAAAATTCCAGGATGCATTTCCAGTTTAGGCATTTAGTTGTCACATTCTACAAGGAGCATAACTAACCAAATCCCCATAAAGTCATCAATCAAGGTTTTTTTTTCAAGTTGTCAAAGGAAACAACTCAAACAGTAGTGGGGTTTATCTTTTACGAGTTTGCTATTGTTTTAAATTACTTGTCTACAGCCAAAGCGGAAAAAAAACTGAAGATACATACCACAGGAGATAAGACTGTGAATCGCATCATAGAGGAACAAAAATCGTAATTAGGACCCGGCAAAATTTGAGAAACATTATCTGGAAGAGGCAAAAAGTGTGGATTAAGTTCTTCAAGTTGAACCCCTACCTGCCAATGGAAAGTTAAAGAGTGAGAGGTTTTAGTATAAAAACAAAAGTACAGATACATAGCAATGACCATGAAGGTTATTTTACCTTGCCACTTGGCAGAGGCAGAGGAACAGAACAGAGTCTATATCTTCGCCCCTCTCGCAGTACGAGTACCATATGTGTGCTGCTGAAATCAACATCTTCGATGGCCTCTAGCTTATCATCAAAAACACTCTGCATCATGCCAAGAAGAGATGTATCAAGCTTAATCGTCATCAAAAAAGCATTATATACTTACTTAAAAAGAAAGAGTGACAAATAAAGGCATGCTGACTAAAACTGACCTCCCACATGCTTTGATCAAGTGGATACTTAAGAGGAGCACGTAAAAGATAGTGAGAATCAACAGGTTTGCCATGTTTTGCAGCATTTGTAAACAGGTAAAGATAACCATGATGATGCTCAACTATGCAATGAGCTTGCCCTTCACATTCCCAAACCAGGTTAAGGCCAGATAATGGTTCAGAGGCATCTATTAGAAAGACCTAAAAAGGGTCATTGAGATAAATTTTGTTCCAACAATAGGCAATAGAATGCAGAAACTTTTTCCACAATATTATTACCTTAGAAAATGTGGTAGCAAGCACATTTACAGTAGCAAACATAAAGTCCTTCGTATGCCTTACATTCAAATTTACATTTGCACGAGGCTCTTCTAAAAGCAACACATTTTCATTTGTACCAAGCAGACAACAATATAACCTAAATATACATAACAAATAATAAAAGAAATGTAGAATGTCAAAAAATTATGGATGCAGGAATCTGACCATGGCAAAATAACTACTAACCTACAAGGCCTCCTCTGATGATCAGTAACAACATAAAGTAAAGCTTGTCCATTTTTTGCCCAAGCTATACTCGATACACGATCAGCTTGAGGGTGAATACACAGAGACCCAAAATTCAAGTCCCTCACAGATAATTTAAAAAAATCATTGTCTTTATCATACATAGTATATGCAAGATATCGGTGATCCGGGGATATTTCAGATAATTCTTCATATGCATAACCTGTAATTAAATGGTGAAATCATAAACCAGAATCTCCTTGAAGTGAGACAACAAAAGGGGGGTGGGGGTGGGTTCACAACACCTCCAAATCTTTCGGCTTCCTGGTTGTAATCGAGCAGTTTTTGCTCAATTCTCTTTCCAGAAGTGAAATCAAACCCGGATGAAGAAGATTTGTGAGATATGAACTCTTCATTTGTGCTCACTAACCTCCTGCATAAAACTGGATATTGTTTCCCCTCTTCTACACGCCTATAGTACAACCTGCTAGGACCAACATTCACCTCCATAAGTAAGGAAACACATTTTACATTCCCCTCTCCATTTTATTGCAACAAAATATTCTAAAACATGAAATGTAATACTGAAGCAAAACTTCTGTTTGAATTGGCATAGCTGGCAATGCTCTGCTTCTTCTAGCTATATACAGATATAAAGCTATGCGTACAATGGAGGTATTTACCAAGGGCCCCACCGAATTGGAGGGGTTGAAAGATCGTACGCCAAGCGAGAAGCCATTTCTGACTGAAGCTTGGACTGAAGGCGCTCGGTGTCAGACATAACAGCTTCAGTGTACTTCTCCTCTTGTTCCATATAAACATCCATGTGGCGCATCGCAACCTTGTCGTTGAGTTGGGACATCCAGCTATATGGGTCCTCCCATGACTCTCCGTGGAGAGTGAAAGTTTTCGGCTTTTTTGGGGGTTTTGGCGGTGACGGCGGAGATGGAGGCGGTTGGGGTTTCAGCGGTTTGTAGTGGGAGAGAGTTATAGGAGTATAACAGCTAGGGTGATTAATACATATGCCAGGCCGCCGGTTACGGTGGATAGCAGCGATGAGGCGCCGCATGGTGGCAGACTGGCGGAGGGCGGGCAAAATAGCTTAGCTCCCTTTTATTAACGGTTGATTTGGTGACGGTAGAATATAATACGAGTAACAGGTAATAATTACTAAGGTCTTTTTTTTTTTTTTGCAAAAAATTACTAAGGTCTTTAAAAATTGTGAGAATGTAGAAGTAAAAACGTTTTAAAATTCCAGGATTATCATGTTTTTTACTTTTTGAATAGGGGTAAATTTCTGTCAAGTTCGGTATTACTAGGCAAACATGACATTTTTCAAACTTGGAATTTTTTACACCAATCGGAGGCAGTGGTACAGGGAAGCAGTACAGACAGTTGGAAAGACATCCATATTTTGTTTATTTTTTTTTTAAGAATTTTTACTATTTTTATCAATAATTTTTGTTTAAAATATTTTTTCATTTTATATTGTTTATTTTATTTTATTATTTTTCTACAATTTTTATTATTATTTATGAATTTATTACTCCCTCCGTCCCCTTTTATTTAGCCAAACACTTTTTTTCAAGTCAAAGTTGTTCAACTTTGACCAATTATATATTTATACACGGTAATATTGATAATGTGAAAATTATATGAAAATGTTCTTTGCTAAAAATACTATCATAAAATTATAAATTTATTAAGTTTTACATAAATATATTAGTTAAAATAATGGATCAAAGTTTATCGCCTTTGACTGAAAAAGTCCAAGATGGCTAAATAAAAAGGGACGGAGGTAGTATGATTTAAAAATTTTAAATATGACGTTTGATTACCTTTTACACATATTTAAAGGAGGTGTAAGAATGAAATAAAAAGACACGTATGTTTCTAAATAAGAGTAATATGGTCATATTTTGGAATAAAACATAAGAAGTCTTATTTTTTATTTTTACCCTGGTTTTACTCCTGTTTGAAGTAATTTTTATAATAATAATAATGATAATATATACTTAGTAGATTTGTAACACCGTCCCCAAATGTATTTACTTTTATGTGAATATTATATTTTAACCTTATGGAATGGTTAAAGAAATTATGATGTTACGAATTTTTATTAATTCTTTCGCACGAATAGTAAATTCGCACGTGAGGCCCGCCCGGAAGCGGGGGCCGCCCGATATTCCCGGGACCACATAAATTATTCATCTTAGTCTAGGTAATAATTATATGGTGGTGGATAATTCATTTGAACCATGGAAAGGTCCAGAGTTGACCGATTGGTCAAGAGAGGCCCAGATACCGGTATTGACGATTTTACCGATAAATGTCCGAAATTGAATTTCGGGGACTTATAAATCAAAGTTGGGGAATGAATATTCATTATAAGGTTCATGTTGGTTAAAGAGCATGTAAAATATTTTATTTGACCCGATAAAATAAAATATAACAAAAACTGTCCGAAAAATACAACTTTCGGGACCGATTGTACACTTCGGGACAAAAGGGGTTGACCTCCCACATGAGTGGGGGCCAACCCACGATTTTGGCCACAAAATGGAGGCTGATTTGTCTCAAACAAGGTCTGAAAACCTTGAGATGATGGGGGAGACCATTTTGACATCCTAAGGACCCCATCCTCACTCATTTGGCAAGAAAGCCAAAAAGAACATCTCACCCCTCTCTCCCTCACCCCCCATCTCGGCCAGCACCCAAGAAAGAAGCAAGAGTAATTTTCCATCCTCCATTATCCATCTTTGAAGAGAGCTCAAGCTTAAGGAGTCCAAAAGGAGGTCTTTGAGAAGGAAAAAGTGAGGAGAAAGTGAGAAGGGTTAAGGTAAAGACCTTATATTAACTTTTCCTTTATTTTTCTTTCTATCATATGAGATATATATCATATGAAGAACCTTGAGGCTTGTTCTACATGATTTAAGTGTAGAATGGTAGGTTGGAAGGTGGTTCTATGTCCAAAAACGGACTTAGAAGCCAAACCGACCGGTTCACCGGAAAATAACCTTTTAAGGGTTATGGGTATTGATTAGGGTTTTATGATGTTAAAACCTTGTTAGGGACTTGATATAGAGTATCTTTGAGCTTCGCCGGAGTTTCGCCGGAGTTGGTCAAAGTTGGCCGGAGTTGGTCAAAGTTCACCGGAATTAGTCCAAGTTCAACCGCGGAGCGTAGAACACGCTTAAGCTCACTTAAGGTGAGGATGACCGACTATATTGCTTATAATTATTGGGTTAATTTCATAAGATTTCCTAAATGAATTATATGTGTTTGGCATGATTTATTAATAATTAAAAAATGCCTAAATGAGATCATTATTGTTTACAAGCAAAAATGCATAATATACAAATTTATGAATAAATTGTGTATGATTATGTGTTATGAATATAATGGCATAATGGCTGTATAAACTACAAATCAAATGGTGATAAATATACTTTTACCTCATGTAAGGAAGTCATGGGAGGATAAAAGTGATATTTTGATAATAGAGCCAAATTACACTTGAATGTGAAATTTAGTTGAAATATACGAATTATTATGAAATTGCATTGGTTTATTAAGATTAAACAACTAGTATAGAAATACTAGTCGGGAATGTAAGTTCAATAGTTCTTGGGAGCTAATCCCAAGATATTAGAGTTAAATAACCTTAAAGGATATTTTTAAGGTGGACTTTATGAAGTCAAGTTACATTAAGAGTAGGCCTTGAGGGTTACTCAAAATGGAAGGAACCTAGACTAAGAAGAGGTTTAGGGATTAGATGACGTGACTATGAGCCGAGCTCTAGCACGTGGTAGTATGACTATGAGCCGAGCTCTAGCAAAATGTGGTATGACTATGAGCCGAGCTCTAGCAAGATGTAGTGTGACTATGAGCCGAGCTCTAGCACAAATTAGTATGACTATGAGCCGAGCTCTAGCAAAATGTAGCGTGACTATGAGCCGAGCTCTAGCACAAATTAGGATGACTATGAGCCGAGCTCTAGCATGAAGGAATGTGAATCTAATATAAATAATAGCACCCTAGATTTAGGGTCTTGGAAATTGAAACTTTGATTATACTTAGTATAGTTGTCATTGTACTTGTCAAATGCTTCCAAGTACTGACCTCCCCTTCACGGGGGAGGCCACCTCACAGTTTCAGGTAGAACTTGAAGGTTGCTACCACCGGCCGTTGCTTCGGGAAGATCAAAGGAGGGAGACGTGGTTCGTGCTTCTTCCGTTCCTGTTTTGAAAACATTTTAAATAATGCTCATGGATAATATTTTTAAATATTTATTTGGGGGCTTGTATGCCCATGTTTGCCAAGGTGTGGCATGAATACTCGTATTGAATATTTCCGCTGCTATGAAAGAATATTTTACATTATGCTTGTTTATGGATGTACTATGTGTGAATGATATTCCAGACGCCTTGTATAGTATGGATGTGTTGGACTGCGGTTGACTATTCGTACTGTACGGCGGATTGTTGACGTGTCCGGTTAGGTCCGGGGCGTGACAATTTAATTGGTATCAGAGCCTTAGTCCGTAAACTTCATAATGAAGCTTCAAAATCTCTTTTCGAAAATGAATTTGAAAACCATGAGCATAAAAGTTTTGTACTTATAGAACTTTTGGTACTTGAGTTGCAAAGTCTCTAATTGTTAAGATGGTACCCTTAACAATTGGTATGGCGGTGATTTGAGCCAAAGGATGTCTTTAAGTACCTATCCGTCACTTGACATTGATACGAGTCTAATGACTCATTCTACTTCCTTTCAGAAATGGAGCCAGTCGGAAGGATCACTAGGAGGAACCCGACGGGCCGTGTGCCGGGTGGGTCCGAGCGCGGTAGCCGGGGGTCCTCTAGGGGATCAAGAGGAAGAGGCCGCGGAGGCCGACAACAACAAACCGTGAGCGATGGCCACGTCGATACGGAAAGTGAGACCTATTGGTCTTATGAAGATTCAACCTACCGGCCGGAAACGGAGCCGGTTGAGACCCCTTATGAAGGGGACGACGACGATGTGAGCGACGAGGAGGAAAGTGGCTCCTTGGCTCGGATCGAAGCGCTGCTCCAACAATATCATCGGGAGCGCGAGGAAAGGAGGGAACGCCGAAGGCGCCGTGCGGGGCAACCTTCGGGTGGGGCTCCAAGAGGAAGGAGCTATTGTGATTCAAGAACCCATGTGGAAGCGCATGGGAGTCGAGGTGATGGAGGTCCAACCATAAGGATCTCCAAATACATCAAAGAGGCGAGGGACCTGGGGTGCAAACCGTTCGATGGGACGGGGGACATCTCGGTGGCCGCGCAATGGATCAAGAGGCTGAACGAGGCAGCCCTTGACATGCAACTCACCCCCGATTTCAAACTGAGAATCGCGGTGAGGTTACTTGAAGGGTTGGCATCCAAGTGGTGGGATGGAACCAAAGGCAAGTATGGCGGGAATGTTACTTGGGAGGATTTTCGGCAAGAATTCTTTGCCCAATACTACTCCGACTTTGAAGTAAATGCAAAGGTGAGGGAATATACTCTCCTAACCCAAGGGGGTAACATGACGGTGAAAGAACTCGAGCACAAGTTCAGGGACCTTGCCGACCACATACCGGAGTATGCTTGTGATGAAAACCGAATGGTGAATCACTTTTGGGAGGCCTTGGACCTGGAGATACGTGATAGGGCGACTCAATTGCCCAACATGACTTTCAGCCAAGTGGTTGCCCAAGGGTTGAAAGGAGAGAAGCAATGGGAAGAGAGAAAGAAGAGAGACGCCGAAGAGGCGAAGAAGAGAAAGTGGGAAGGCCATGGCCCCCAAGGTTCTAACAAAAAGGGGAACCATGGGGGAGGTGGATCATTCAGAACACCGGCACCGCCATCCAAGGGAAACCCGGCTTTCAGCGGGCACAACTCGGGCTCACAAGCCTCAACGACGCCCAGGTGCAGGAATTGTAACAGGAGCCACGCCGGTAAGTGTCGTGATCCACCACGGTGCTTCCAATGCGGGAGTACAGGGCATATTAAACCAAATTGCCCTCAACTTGGTGGGAACCGAGGGGCGGGATCAAGCGGCGCCACCACGGCGAGTAGGAGCCGAACTGGGGCACCCCATGCTAGTGCGGGGCAAGGGGGAGCGAGCACGAGCAACGCGCCGTCTGTAAATCAAGGGAGGACTCAAGCTAGAGTCTATGCGATGACCGAGGCTGACGCTCGGGCCAATCCCGACTCCGTTGCAGGTAACCCTTTGTGACGATTGATAAATTACATGTATTGAGTGCTAAAGTTGCACGGGCTGGCCGGGGCCGATACCGGCCAGTTTCCTAGCAAAAAGTTGCAGAAATGAACTGCCCAGGGGTAAACCGGCGCCGGTCGAGGCTAAAACCGGCGCCGGTTCTAATTAAAACGCCCGTTTTGGGGTCGCCGTGGGTAAACCGGCGCCGGTTTTGGGCCATAACCGGCGCCGGTCAAGGGTCGGGGAGGCCAAGCTAATAAAATTTTCTTTTCCGGAGGACGCCGTAGCAAAACCGGCGCCGGTTCTGGCCATAACCGGCGCCGGTCCAAGGGAAAAAGAGGTCGGAGAATCACCGTGCTCGCAACCGGGGCCGGTTTTGAATTTTCCGATGTTGCCGAAGGTGAACCGGCGCCGGTTTTGGCCATAACCGGCGCCGGTCCAGTTCAATTTATGGTTATCCGGCCACTCCGAAGGCAAACCGGCGCCGGTCTTGCCTAGAACCGGCGCCGGTCCAGTGTATTTTTACCCGAAAAATTTTCGTTAAGCCCCGTTTCGATCCGGTACGTTGACTAGTGTGTCTTACATGACTTATATATGTAGGAACATTAAAGATCAATGGTAGAAACGCAAGAATTCTCATTGATACCGGGGCACAACGTTCATTCGTGAGTGAAGCGTTTGCCGAAAGTTTAGACGTGCCGTTGATAGAAATGACGCAACCCTTGTTGGTCTCTACACCGTTGGGAGACGATGTGGAGAGGAAACACTACTACCCTTCGTGTGAGGTAGGAGTGACGGGTCAACCTTTGACTTGTGACTTCGTACCTCTAAGTATGTTAGAATTCGATGCAATTCTAGGGATGGATTGGCTCGAGAAACATCATGCTCGAGTGGATTGTTATGCCAAGGTTTTGGAACTCGAGGACGCTGAGGGAAACACGCTACGTTTCGAGGGAGATCGGGGCGGATCTCATAGTTGTATAATATCCGTGTTGAGGGCACGGAAGATGATGAGGAAGGGATGCCATGCATACCTCGCTTATGTGGTGGATGAAGCAAAGAAGGAGGTTGACATCAACGATGTACGTGTCGTGTGCAAATATCCGGATGTCTTTCCCAAAGACTTGCCGGGGCTTCCACCCGACAGAGAGATCGAATTCGTGATTGAAGTGGAGCCGGGAACCAAACCCATTTCGATTCCTCCTTATCGAATGGCACCGGCCGAGCTTCTAGAGCTGAAGGTTCAACTCCAAGAGCTATTGGACAACGGGTTCATTAGACCCAGTCATTCACCGTGGGGAGCACCCGTACTCTTCGTAAAGAAGAAAGATGGTACACTAAGAATGTGTATAGACTACCGACAATTGAACAAAGTCACGATCAAGAACAGGTACCCTTTACCGAGGATAGATGACTTGTTTGATCAACTCCGAGGGGCAACAGTATTCTCGAAGATTGATTTAAGGTCGGGGTATCATCAGTTGAAGATAAAGGAGAGTGACATACCTAAGAGTGCCTTTCGCACTAGATATGGTCACTACGAGTTCTTGGTGATGTCTTTTGGTCTAACCAACGCACCGGCGGCATTCATGGACATGATGAACCGTGTGTTCAGTGAATACTTAGATCAATTTGTGATAGTATTCATTGACGACATTTTGATATACTCTAAGAGTGAAGAGGAGCATGAAGATCATTTGAGTCTTGTACTTGAACGACTAAGGGAAAAACAACTCTTTGCCAAGTTCTCTAAATGCGAGTTTTGGCTCAAAGAGATTGGGTTTCTCGGGCATGTCGTGTCAAGTTCGGGCATTTCGGTGGATAAAGCCAAGATAGAAGCCATTATGAATTGGGAGAGACCCAAAAATGTGAAAGAGATACGTAGTTTCCTTGGCTTAGCGGGATACTATCGAAAGTTTGTTGAAAAATTTTCCGTATTGGCGTCTCCATTGACAAAGCTCACGAAGAAAGGGGCCAAGTTCATATGGGACGACAATTGTGAGAAAGGCTTTCTTGAACTAAAGAAACGGCTTACAGAAGCACCGGTTCTCGCTCTACCCACACAAGGGATAGGGTATGACATATACAGTGATGCTAGCATCCAAGGCCTTGGATGTGTACTCATGCAGAACGGTCGGGTGATTGCCTATGCTTCTAGGCAATTGAAGAAACACGAGGCGAACTACCCTACCCATGACCTGGAGTTGGGGGCGGTAGTGTTTGCACTAAAGATTTGGAGACATTATCTCTATGGAGAGACATGTCACATTTTCACCGATCATAAGAGCCTCAAGTATGTATTCACTCAGAAAGAGTTGAATATGAGGCAAAGGAGATGGATGGAGTTGATCAAGGACTATGACTTGATCATCGACTATCATCCCGGAAAGGCCAATGTAGTGGCCGATGCATTGAGCAGGAAGGGTACGTCGGGGACATTACTCACATGTCTACGAACTTTGAGGGCGCAAGTGGAGGTGTCCACGAGTGGGGTCCTCATTGCTAGATTCGAGGTTAGACCTACATTGCTGGGTGAGATCAGTAGATGTCAGGCCATTGATGAGGAATGTCAGAAGATCCGGGAGAGGATCCTTGAAGGGCCTGTGGAGAACTTTCGAGTACGTGATGACGGTCTTTTACTGTTTAAGGACCGGGTATGCATACCAAAGAGTGAGGAGCTCCAAAAGTCTATACTAGAGGAGGCTCATTCTTCGGCATATGCTATGCATCCAGGAGGTACTAAAATGTACCGAGACTTGAAGGAAAGTTACTGGTGGTCGGGCATGAAGAGGGATATCGCAGAGTACGTGAGCCGATGCCTTACTTGCCAGCAAGTTAAGGCGGAGCACCAGCACCCGGCAGGGCTTTTGCAGCCACTGACCATTCCGGAATGGAAGTGGGAACATGTGACCATGGACTTCGTGGTGGGGCTACCACGAACAGTGAACAACTACGATGCAGTATGGGTAGTGGTCGATAGGCTCACCAAGAGTGCACACTTTTTGCCTATCAACATTACTTATCCTCTTGAAAGATTGGCAAAGCTATACACGGAGGAGATTGTGAGACTACATGGAGTCCCGATATCCATTGTCTCGGATAGGGATCCACGATTCACATCTCGGTTTTGGCCCAAGTTTCAAGCATCCTTGGGTACTAAACTGAAGTTTAGCACAGCTTTTCATCCACAGACGGATGGACAATCTGAGCGGGTGATACAGATATTGGAGGACATGCTTAGGGCATGTGCTCTGGAGTTCCAAGGGAGTTGGGACAAACATTTGGCTCTAGTCGAGTTTGCCTATAACAACAGTTACCAGGCAAGTATTGGCATGCCTCCATACGAGGCATTGTATGGGAGGAAATGCAGAACACCACTGTGTTGGGACGAGGTTGGCGAGGCCAAGCTCGAAGGGATTGAACTCGTTGAAATCACCAAGGCTAAGGTGAAGGTCATTCAGGATAGACTCAGGGCTGCCCAAGATCGGCAGAAGAGTTATGCCGACAAACGACGCAGGCCATTGGAGTTCGAGGTCGGTGATAAGGTCTTCCTAAGGATTTCTCCTTGGAAGGGTATCATCCGATTTATATCGAGGGGAAAACTCAACCCCCGATACATTGGCCCATTTGAAATTCTTGAAAGGATAGGGGTCGTGGCATACCGTCTGAAGTTGACGCCAGAACTTGAGAAGATACATGACGTGTTTCACGTATCGATGCTCAAGAAATACGTGAGAGATCCATCTCATATTCTTGAGAAGCCACCGGTAGAGATACGCGAAGACCTACAATATGCGGTAGAACCGGTGAAAATTGTGGGGCAACAAGTGAAGAAATTGAGAAACAAGGAGATTCCTATGGTGAAAGTCCTTTGGAGGAGTGATCGGGTCGAGGAAGAAACATGGGAGACCGAGGTCTCGATGAGGGAGCAATACCCTTTTCTCTTCGATTAGGCACGTGGATTTCGGGGACGAAATCCCAAATAAGGGGGGGTGAACTTGTAACACCGTCCCCAAATGTATTTACTTTTATGTGAATATTATATTTTAACCTTATGGAATGGTTAAAGAAATTATGATGTTACGAATTTTTATTAATTCTTTCGCACGAATAGTAAATTCGCACGTGAGGCCCGCCCGGAAGCGGGGGCCGCCCGATATTCCCGGGACCACATAAATTATTCATCTTAGTCTAGGTAATAATTATATGGTGGTGGATAATTCATTTGAACCATGGAAAGGTCCAGAGTTGACCGATTGGTCAAGAGAGGCCCAGATACCGGTATTGACGATTTTACCGATAAATGTCCGAAATTGAATTTCGGGGACTTATAAATCAAAGTTGGGGAATGAATATTCATTATAAGGTTCATGTTGGTTAAAGAGCATGTAAAATATTTTATTTGACCCGATAAAATAAAATATAACAAAAACTGTCCGAAAAATACAACTTTCGGGACCGATTGTACACTTCGGGACAAAAGGGGTTGACCTCCCACATGAGTGGGGGCCAACCCACGATTTTGGCCACAAAATGGAGGCTGATTTGTCTCAAACAAGGTCTGAAAACCTTGAGATGATGGGGGAGACCATTTTGACATCCTAAGGACCCCATCCTCACTCATTTGGCAAGAAAGCCAAAAAGAACATCTCACCCCTCTCTCCCTCACCCCCCATCTCGGCCAGCACCCAAGAAAGAAGCAAGAGTAATTTTCCATCCTCCATTATCCATCTTTGAAGAGAGCTCAAGCTTAAGGAGTCCAAAAGGAGGTCTTTGAGAAGGAAAAAGTGAGGAGAAAGTGAGAAGGGTTAAGGTAAAGACCTTATATTAACTTTTCCTTTATTTTTCTTTCTATCATATGAGATATATATCATATGAAGAACCTTGAGGCTTGTTCTACATGATTTAAGTGTAGAATGGTAGGTTGGAAGGTGGTTCTATGTCCAAAAACGGACTTAGAAGCCAAACCGACCGGTTCACCGGAAAATAACCTTTTAAGGGTTATGGGTATTGATTAGGGTTTTATGATGTTAAAACCTTGTTAGGGACTTGATATAGAGTATCTTTGAGCTTCGCCGGAGTTTCGCCGGAGTTGGTCAAAGTTGGCCGGAGTTGGTCAAAGTTCACCGGAATTAGTCCAAGTTCAACCGCGGAGCGTAGAACACGCTTAAGCTCACTTAAGGTGAGGATGACCGACTATATTGCTTATAATTATTGGGTTAATTTCATAAGATTTCCTAAATGAATTATATGTGTTTGGCATGATTTATTAATAATTAAAAAATGCCTAAATGAGATCATTATTGTTTACAAGCAAAAATGCATAATATACAAATTTATGAATAAATTGTGTATGATTATGTGTTATGAATATAATGGCATAATGGCTGTATAAACTACAAATCAAATGGTGATAAATATACTTTTACCTCATGTAAGGAAGTCATGGGAGGATAAAAGTGATATTTTGATAATAGAGCCAAATTACACTTGAATGTGAAATTTAGTTGAAATATACGAATTATTATGAAATTGCATTGGTTTATTAAGATTAAACAACTAGTATAGAAATACTAGTCGGGAATGTAAGTTCAATAGTTCTTGGGAGCTAATCCCAAGATATTAGAGTTAAATAACCTTAAAGGATATTTTTAAGGTGGACTTTATGAAGTCAAGTTACATTAAGAGTAGGCCTTGAGGGTTACTCAAAATGGAAGGAACCTAGACTAAGAAGAGGTTTAGGGATTAGATGACGTGACTATGAGCCGAGCTCTAGCACGTGGTAGTATGACTATGAGCCGAGCTCTAGCAAAATGTGGTATGACTATGAGCCGAGCTCTAGCAAGATGTAGTGTGACTATGAGCCGAGCTCTAGCACAAATTAGTATGACTATGAGCCGAGCTCTAGCAAAATGTAGCGTGACTATGAGCCGAGCTCTAGCACAAATTAGGATGACTATGAGCCGAGCTCTAGCATGAAGGAATGTGAATCTAATATAAATAATAGCACCCTAGATTTAGGGTCTTGGAAATTGAAACTTTGATTATACTTAGTATAGTTGTCATTGTACTTGTCAAATGCTTCCAAGTACTGACCTCCCCTTCACGGGGGAGGCCACCTCACAGTTTCAGGTAGAACTTGAAGGTTGCTACCACCGGCCGTTGCTTCGGGAAGATCAAAGGAGGGAGACGTGGTTCGTGCTTCTTCCGTTCCTGTTTTGAAAACATTTTAAATAATGCTCATGGATAATATTTTTAAATATTTATTTGGGGGCTTGTATGCCCATGTTTGCCAAGGTGTGGCATGAATACTCGTATTGAATATTTCCGCTGCTATGAAAGAATATTTTACATTATGCTTGTTTATGGATGTACTATGTGTGAATGATATTCCAGACGCCTTGTATAGTATGGATGTGTTGGACTGCGGTTGACTATTCGTACTGTACGGCGGATTGTTGACGTGTCCGGTTAGGTCCGGGGCGTGACAAGATTAGTCGCAAGAGTAGGAGTATAATCTAAAAAAATTATAAATATGACTAATTTTGCATTCCATCCTTGCTTTGTTGTAATACAACTCATATTTGATTAATAATTTTTTTTATCGTAAAATAAGCGGTTTTATATTAAAATCGAGAACAAATACAAGATAATCTCCAGACATATTTTACAGATCCAATCGTGAACCCTAGGAGTAGACATAGAATTAGTCACCTCATACAAAGCAACCTGACTCACTAAACCTGAAACGGGGAAATTTAAGCCTAAAACGAACAGATCTGAAACCCTGTCTATCAAAAGTACTTCGAAAATCCAAACATTCAAACCAAATCTACTCGGACTAAAACTAGTACTGCAAAAGAGAAAATAATATTGAAATAAAATATTTCCACAAAACTTTTTCTGGTGTGGAGGTGGTTCTGGAGGAGGAGGAGCTCTAGCAATATGGATGAAAACAAAGTTAACCACTGTCGGAGCGGTCGACCAAGGCTTCACGATCCAGCACCGATGCAAAATCTCAGCCGCAATCTTTGCATCCGCCAACATTATCTCATCCAACATAGTTGCAATCTCAAAGGTTAGAACACTTAAAATCAGAATAATTTGCCGCTCCAGCCCCATATTGATAAGGACGACGGAAAACCTTTACAAAGAGGGGAGACGACCGCTAGGTTTTTAGAGAAAAGCCAGAGCTTTTTATCCAATTATTTGATTCATATTTCATTAATAATTAAAATATAAAAGTAATAATTTAAAGTTATAAATGTTATATTTTCGAGAAAATTTGGCATTTTCAAAGTTATAAATGTTATATTCATGAAATTTTCAGAGAAAAAGTAACAATTTTTACACAAAATGGCATTTGTATTGTCGATCGGAGTTTGCATTGCTAGGAGGTGGCTAAAGGTGCAGGTAAGGCATCCATATTTTTTTATATTTTTTAAATGTGTTTTATATATTTTGTATTAATTTTTCAACTTTTTATTTTTTCAAAAACTAAGTTTTTAAATTTCTAAAATTTTGGGTAGTATGATATTATTATTTTTAAAGAATATTCTTGAAATTTATTACTCCCTCCGTCCCTCAATACTTTGTCAAGTTTGACCGACACGAGAATTAATAAAGTAAAAACTATGTGGTTGAAGTTTGTGCAGAGAAGAGAAAATTAATTGGAACCACAAATTTTTTACTTGGAAAATGGCAAAGTTAGTAAGACATCCAAAAAGGAAAGTTGACAAAGTTATAAGGGACATATGGAGTATGATGTTTTGTGATTTTTTTGAAATTATTTTTTGATTATGGGAAAAATAATTAAAATACCCCAAACTATCAAGGGGTGTGAAGTAAGCACCCCAAACTTGCACATGTAATTTAAATACCCCAAACTTGATAAAAAGTTATTTTAGTACCATGATCATGTATTATTTCTTTTCAAAATGTTACTTTTTGGTGTTAAAATAACTTTTTTTGTAAAAAGTTTGGGGTACTTAAATCACATATAAAAGTTTGGGGTGTTTATCTCACACCCCTTCAAAGTTTGGGATATTTTAATTATTTTTTCTCTTTTATGACAAATTAAAATATGATTATCCTATTAAGTTATAAATTTTATAAATAATGACCTGAAATATATCGTTATAGGGTCCAAATGATGGGAAACTATCAATCTAAGACCTAATTTAACATGAATTTTATCATTTTTTTAATTTAAAATATTATCTAATTTTTTAAACAAATAAATTTTATTGACGAAAAAATCATCAAAATTAGCAATGAAATTAATAAAAAATTAAACAAATCAAAATCTATAGAATTTTAGGTCCTAGATCTGATAGTTTTTCGATCATTCAGGCTATATATCGACAAATTTTATATTTTGGGTCCCGCATTGATAAATCATTTATTTTTCAAGTTCTGAATTGATAAAATTGCATTATGTTACGGTAAGGGTAGAATAAGAAGATAAAGTATACTTTAGTTTTATTTTGGGAAGATAAATAGCATATTCCTATTGTGCATTTAGAAATTTGTTTAGTCCTACGTAGGGCTATTTCCACTAGATTAATAATAGTAAGGTCTATACATTAACGTAAAACAATTAGGATAAGCCTTAAAACATTTGTGGTTTTGTATTCCAGGATAGGAGTTTATTCTAAACATGAGTAATTGTTGTCATGTTTTTACAATGCCAAATTTTAAAACACATCAATATTTATTGTAAAAAAAACATAACAATATTTTCTAAACTTGACATTAACTACTCAAATTTTGATAACAATGACACAATAGTCCTATTTTTGAATTCTCATACATTTTTTCCTCTATTTTAAAGAAATCCTTAATTATTAATGAAATAAAATGTAAAATATTCTCTATGACTGATAACTTTGTCAAAGTTAACTCGTCGTCGAATAATAAAGTAAAAACGATGTAATTGAGACTTCTATAAAGGAGATAGAATTAACAAGAAGCATGAATCCATTAATCAAAAGGGAAATTTATAGAATTATTAGGATAGTAAAAAAGGAATATTCGAAAAGTTATAAGTGACGAAAAGAGTATTACATAGTAATAATATTTATTATTATTACACTAAATAAATATTAATCTTTAGACACAAAAAATTGTTTCATATATCTTTTTTATTTATACCATTAAGATTGTCTCATACCAAATTTGATAAAATTTGTGTGATTTTAATTTATTCTTACTTTATCTTTTTTTGTTTATCCCATTATTATTATCTCATGTCTCAATGTTAGTGAGATACTCTGTATTAAATTTTAGATGATGTTATACTGCACATCTTTTTATGTTGACGTCATAACACATCCCAGAAGTCCTACTACTCCCTCGGTCCTGCCATCCATTTGTCAATCATGTTGAATTTTCAATGATTACATTTTATATACAAAAGTATTTATAATATGATATGAAGAGTAGTTAAGGAGTGTTTGGGTTTGCTTAAAAAAAGCGCTTTTCAGCTTTTGGCTTAAAAAAAGTTGAAAAGAGTATTTTCAAATGACAGCTTCTGCAAATTAATCACTTAAAAGCTAAAAGCTGGAAGCAGGTAGAAGGGTGCTTTAAAGTGCTTCTCACTTTTTCTATTACACAAAAAGTACTTATTTTACCAAACACTAACAACTTTTACTTTTCCAAAATCACTTTTTTCTCAAACACTACCAACTTTTACTATTAATCACTTTTCCCAAAATCACTTTAAAAAATCACTTTTTTAAAGTTGAAGCAATTGCAAACACTCCCTTAGATTCAGCATTATCCCAAGATTTCCAACGTTGCACATATGATAAAAATAAAAAGTTCACTCATAAAAATTGCATCGTTGATTGTGTCCAGCATTCATGTTCTGAAAATTAGAGATTGCTCCACCACAAAATTCAAGTGTTCTGAAAATTAGAGATTGCTCCACCACAAAATTCAAGTAAACACGGCAGCTAGTTGCACACATTACATAGCAACTGATTTTACTTCTGGGCAAAACTGTGAAAGCTAGTGGTAGTAGTAGTAATCACTCAAGTCACAATTGGTTCTGGTCCATAATTCAGCTCGACCTGCTTAGAAGTGCTGCAGAACGGGAAAATAAACATTGGTCAAACGTCCATGAAGATGTCATGTACGTATGTAGCTCTAGAAGACACACTGTTACCATATTTTGACAATAAAACAGGAATCAGTGAAGAGATAGGGAGAAACAGGTTTATAAGACTCTGGGGTGAACTAAATGATCTTACGATTCAGTCTTTTAGTGTAACCTATACTGAATCCTGAATTCTATCAGCAAAAATCTATACAACAACATTCAAACCTGTCCCAAAAAATTTGGGGTAGGCTAATATGAATCAATACATGATATCAGCTAAACTCTATTAACAAAACAAATAGTTTATTAAACTTGACAGGTCGACATAAACCATGTTCCAGTATGCGGTTCCGGTTCAGGTTCGCTGAAATTTAGAACAGGGAACCGGCAGCTCAGTTCTGGTTCGGAACCACGAAGACCGCGTAAATGGGCCATAGGACAACACAGGAACACTATCATATTCACAAAGCACAAATAGGGGCACTAAGAGCTGCAACTGTGAAGATTCTGAAATATCCATCAGACTGCATATGCAAAAGGCGTCAATTTCTTCCTATGACCTCACTGATTTGAAAACATGTACGTAGTATTACTTTGAATCTATCTGTATACTTAAATATCATTCTTGCTAGAGATCATATTTATTATCAAAATTACATCAAGTAATTAACTGATCATTGTACTCAGCTCGCAAGTGTGCAAACTGTGTTCACTTACATTCATAAATTTACAGCAACAATCAAGCCTTAATCCCAAAACTCCAAAAGAGCTTGGAATCGACTAATGAATCGACTAATATATACAGGAGACAAACAAAATCAAATCAAACTTTCACACATACTCTCCTTCCACTTAGCTCTCTACAAAGTCACACTTTCATCTGACCGCAGAAGTATCATATCATTTTTTATCACTCTAATCCATGTCTGTCTAGATAGTCCCCTCTCTCTCCTCTCTACCACCTCTCTCCACCATCTAACACATGCATCACTCAGTCTTCTACACACAGGGTCAAATCAGTAAATCACATCAATCATGACTCGCATCCAAAGATGTCATGGCCCATGACGACTGTCATGGCATAGGGGCAATTTGTTGTGGCGATGGCGATGGCGATGGCGCATTTATAGTGTCGCCATGAAACACTAAAAACAACCAGAATAAATATGACTCATAGGCAATATAGTTCTATGACTTACCATGGATAAAAGAGTTAACTAACCATATCCAAATAACATACCTAAGCAAATCATAATAGTACCTAAAATAATCATAATCAAGCACATAATCCTTA